AAAAAAAAAAAAAAAAAAAAAAAAACTACAGGCCAAGAAACCTGATGAACACAGATGCAAAAATCCTCAAGAAAATACTAGCAAACAGAATCTAACAGTGTATCAAAAACATAATTCATCATGTTCAAGTTGTCTTTATTCCAGGATGAAAGGATGGTTCAATATATGCAAGTCAATAAAGGTGACTCATGACATAAACTTGTACTTAGAACAAAAAGCATATGATCATCTCAATAGATCCAGATAAAGTATTGAATAAAGTCCAACATCCCTCAACAAACTAGGCATGAAACATACCTCAAAATAAGAGCCCTACATGAAAACCCACAGGCAACATCAAATTGAATGGGGAGAAATGAAAACATTTTCCCGAGAAAATGGGAATGGAATCCTCCCTATCCCCTGGGGTCTCCTACTGGACCAGGGCCTACCATCAGGGCAGGGTCCCTCTCATGCTAGAATCTCCCATTCCCCTCGTCAGATCTCAGTGAAGTGGGCCATGGCCATGGGTGTGAATCATGGCGTCTCCTCCTACTGGCCCTGGCTGTGCAGATGGAAGAGACCATGGTGTCCACAGAACACACAGGGCGTGGGCACACGGAAGCCGTGTTCTCCTGCTTACAGGATTTTCCCATCGACATCTCCATGGGTAATGAACTGGCTCTTGTTTTCCCAGGGCTTGGGCTGAGACAGGCACCAGGTTTTCTGCTGATATTTCAGACAAACATGGGATCTCCCCTGATCTCCTTTCACTGTCTGCCGGACCTGTCCTCATCTCATTGAGGGCCAGTATGTAGCTGCAAATGGACGTGGTGGTGCCTTCCTGATTCGGTCTCTTCCAGGTGAAGGCAATGGAGGACTCTTCCTTTCCTCTCAGCGCCTTCCCATGGGGTCTCACTTTCTCCTTCAGCTCATCCATAAACAGATCCTTGTAGGGTCCCTACCACGGCCAGTCCTCTCAGCAGCCCTGGGGAGGCTTCAGGGAAGATGTAAATTCAGGCTGCAGGGCAGACTCAGATCAGCAGAGACTCATCTCACATCTGTCTGTGCAGTCCCATTTGTGCTTCACTGTTGCAATGAGCAAAAGAGGAAATATAGGGAAATAAGGGAAGAATCACGACTCTTTTCCCAGAACTGGAGTGTGGGTTTTCTTTATGCAAAAAAGTTCCCTTCACGAACTTCTCCTTCGTTGTCGCCACAGCATCCACGCCCATGGCCCTGGAAACAACATTGACCTGATGCTGCCTTCTTGGTGACGCCGTTTTCTTTCAAACACTCCTATTCTGTTTTGCTCCTGTGTTCAGGTTTTGGGACAATACATGGGTTTAGCACTCTGATTTGAAGGGAAGTCTCTTCATTTAAATATTCACGTATCACCTCCTGCCGGTGTGACCTTGGCCGTAACCTCCCATTTCTGAGCCTCAGTTTCCTCATTTGAAGTCTGTCATGAACTCCATTCATCACAGGGGAGCTGGGTCATTGGTGCCTGCGAGCTGCACGGGGCTCAGCCATGGGTGATTTCCAGAGCAGGTGGAGACATGAGGGGTGGGGACATGAAGGGATGCTGGTGTCCATGCTCAAGGCTTGTGACTGATGTTTCTTCCACTTAGGAGTGCCTCTTTGTTCCTACCCTTGAGAGATGTTTCTTACCATATTTCATCAAAACCCCAGTTGTCAGGGTCATGTGCAGAAAGTGGAAATGAAAGCTCTTCAGAAGCAGCATTTAAAAACAGAGCATTTGAATCTGGTGCCATTAGGGGTTATTAGGGTGGAAGCTTCAAAGCATTTTTGTGCAGAACAGATAAGGAGCCCAGGAACCTCACAGGCAGGGAGGGGTTGGGTATCTCAGCAAGGCTGGAGCCTGTGATGGGACATCTCTGCTTACTGATCTCAGCCCATAATCACCACTGAGCCAACTCCCTATGTGTGTGTGAAACAAATTCACTGCAGTGCTGTTATATGTGGGCATCTGTACCACGTGTGAATGTGAGTTTCACGTGGATTTATTTCTTCTGGGAGCAACTTGAGTAGACACCATATTTGGAAGCTGAGTGCAGCGGGAACAACTCCCTATTTTTAGGCTGGAATTACTAGAATAGTCTTTTATGGTCACTAATTGGTGTAGCAAGTGAGTGTCTAACAAAGATAGACAACCAAGAGTTAGCCTTCTAATGATAAAGTGCTATGATTATCAATATACACACTCATTGATAAGGATGATCATATCCAGAGAAATAGAACACAAGGAATGCATGAGACCCCTTTTCAATTAAACATGTTTAGATATCTGAAAAAAATACAAGAGGAAATTGAATCTTTGAGACAAGAATATGGATTACAATTTCAAAGAATGGGCATCAGACCAATGAGTTAGAAATCCTAGAGGTAAAAATTCCAATAGAAGAAATACAATGAAAATATTTATTTCATCAAGGTCAAGATACAGCTGAAGAGACATTTATAAATTGAAAAACAAAATTTGAGAGAACTGTCCAGAATGTACCGTGGAGAGACCCATAGTGGAAATTCACAGTACTTCGGAAAATATTGTGAGGAGGAATAACGTCACATTTATTGTACATGTCAGAAGGAAAGAAGGGAGAATGAGGTCTGGCAACAGCTCTAGAAATAGAGTTAAACATTTGAAAGAGATGAAGAAAAACTAAGACACTAGGGTGTGTACATTTAAGAATGAAATGCAAATCTTGACCTACCACGATAAACTGAAAAATAGGAGTAAATTAATAAATACATATGCTAGACGGAATTTTCTAATTTAAAACGCATTTTTGTGTTTTGTGATTTTCAACTCAACATATCAAAAGAATTGCTTCTCACTGGGATGGGACTCCCAACAGAAAAAAGAAAGGCCAGGAGATGTTGAAGAAGTATCTTCAAGGAATGAATTGAAAGTGAGGAATTCGCTGCTCACCCAAGTTAATATCTGAAAGATAAAAGGGTTAGCAGGAGACCAATTCCTAAGCAGAAGCAGCTCAGGGTAAGACGGACCTGTGAAGCTGATCAGGTCAGGCTTCCCCTTCGTGAGGGCTGAGGAGGGATTGGAGGGTGGATCCCTCAATCAACACATGTGCTTTTTTTCAGTTGTTCTGTCTTATCCTTTAATTAATATAGAAATGTTTTCATCTACTTTGATAGAGCATGAGGAAGAAGAAGGCATTTTCTGAGCTGCGAGTTACTAGATATTACTGTTTTTATGCTCAGTGAAAGCGATTTTAAATGATGTAATCCAGTTAGAAGAAAATCCAAAATGTAGAATGTGAGATGCCACAGTGATGAAAAATGGGAAACAGGGAAGTATTTGAAAATCACACACACACACAGGCACACACGTATGAGTACGTGTGCATGTACATATATGAGTACTCAGAGTTCAGCTACAATGGAATTAGAACCTGTCTTCTCTAAAGACAAGGATAAATGAATCCTCATTCGGAAATATATAATTGAAAGAATACTTAACTAAATAGGTGAAATTATTCCAAATTATTCATTTTTTTTACCCTGTCTGTAAAAGAGGAATTCACCTACTGAAGGATAAGTTAAATAGCTCAATACCCCCAATAACACCCATGGATGAAACACAATAGTATCACCTAAAATAAAATAATAATTTCCAATCAGTAAGGGAAGAAAGGTATGCTATTAAAATATCTATTGGAAATATTGATATTCAACAAAATGAAACAATACAAAAAATTTTAGAAATAACTAAAATTTTGTGTTTTAATGTAGGTAGTAAGGTCTGGGCACAAAAGGTATTGCGGGCTGAGGCACGAGGATCACTTGAGCCCAGGAGTTCGAGACCAGCCAGGGCAACATAGTAAGACTCATCTCTATTAAAATAAAAAAAAGGAAGTATATTAAAGGTGACAAAATATATGTGGACTTTCATTCATCTAACCATAGGTTCTTAAAATATATACAACATAAAGTTATATTTATTTGGTGATTAAAACAAATATTTATGAAGGTCTTATAGGTTAA